ATGATTGTAGCTCAGTGTTTTTACTGGAGGCACCTGGGAAAGTAAAATTATAATCATAAGGACTACTTAGACTGTGTATCAGTCTTCATAGCTTCACTGAGTGGGCACAAGTATGTTCATGTATTACTGGAGGTCATGGGGTATCAAGGGCATTCATAATCATATGCTCCATTTTAATCAATGCCTATCCCAACAAAGCCAACACATAGATCTGTCCTTCAGTGGCAAAACTGGAGAAGCCATTTCTCTCCCTTTGACAGAAACAAAAATGCAAATTACAAAACAGTGAGTTTTAAGCCTTCTGATTCTCAGAAGGACCCAGGTTAGATAAGTGGGCATGTAATCTTATTACCCCTGAACCTCATGGGTCCAGATTCAGAAGAATTCAGATCTTTCCACAATTCCTGTTTCCAAAGTTCTTTTCAGTAAATGCTCTACACCTAGTTCTTCCACTCACAGTTCAGCCAGTTTATTAGATGGCAATGGTAAGTGTGTATTATGCAAACCTGATCAAAAACCTGATTGTGAAATAACTGACAGGAAACAAATCCCAGACTTTATATAGAATGAGGGCTTTCCTTCCATGCTCACTAAGATCATTGTCAGCAAATGACTTGAGCCATAAACCACCACAATCTATCCTGCATTTGACCAATCCTCTACCAAGCAACACAGACATTACAACTGACAAAGAGCACAACTACCCATCAAACAGAGGTTAGGAAACTCAGCAAAATTCAGATTTGACTGCCACACACTGACACTTGTCTACCTGTGTCACCAGCAGTAGTCTTTGTTTGTCCAGGTAATTTTGCCAAAATCTGAAACAAGATGTTCTTTCTATTTTTACCTGTCAAAGGGAAAATTATTATCATCAGAATATAGGTCAAAATTTCCAAAATTCAAACTTTGTATTCACACATAGTAGAATTCATCCCCTGACCAGGTAACACTACATAATCTACCGCCTTTTAGTTCATGTTTTATTTTTCTCTCACAAACACTGAATGCATAACATCCAAAATAGATCCATCCTTGTTTGTTTCCTCTTTTCCAAAAGAAGAGTGTGGTCTTTCTATGGAAAATTATTAGATTCTTCTCTGCTTAGTTCCTCTTTCCCCAAACTGAAGAACAAAGTAATCTCCCCATACAAAACCAAAATTGGATTAATTTAGCTAACAGACCATATTCAATAACAATTATAGTTCAAAAGGCCCTAGGTGATCAAATATCTACTATCAACACCAGCCCAAGGTATAGATTTCCAAGGAACTTTGAGCACAGACTATTATCAGAGGATGACCCTCAACTATCCTCCCACAAGGACCAATTCAAATAATTTGAATTCTCCCACTTTCAGAGAAATGGAATGATCTGAACTATTGCCTGGATTTGGTTCTCACTGGCTCACACTGCTTAGGTAAACCCCTTAATCCACTGTAGGCATCTTTCTTCCTTAAGGTTCTGCAATTAGACTCAACTTTCCAGCAAAGTCTGCAACACTACAGTCAAAACATTCACTCTGTCCTTTTACTTGGAAAAACCTGTAGTAACTAATTCTCTCCCTTTGACAGAAAATGAAAATTCCAAAACAGCGAATTTTGAACCATATGAAATTATTAGAAGGATCCATCTTAGTAGAATGTGTAAGAAATATCATCATCACCCCCCTGTGACTCTTCTTCATTCAGTTGTGGACTCAAAATTCTCTGCAGTAAATTCTCTATACCATATCCCATCTGCCCGTTGTTTTACCTGCTTCACAGTTAACCCAGATTATTAGACACGTGCTGACAGTCTGTATTATGCAAATATGTTTAAAAACTAGTTATGAAATACCTGACAGGATTCTGACACTAATATTTCTGGGGTTCTCATTTCCAGCATTCAGATTTCCAGTCCCTGAACTGCACTGCTAATCTCTATAATCCTCTCATTTCCCCCAGATCCAGTTGCCTGTTTTTCTGTAGGTTTTAGATGGACTCCTGAATCTGTGGAAACTGCAACTAAGGAGAGCAGCTCATTTTTTTTTCACTTGAATAACCTGGGAATGTAAAACCATAACTGCAAGCTTGCCTTTGGCTATACATTCATCTTCATCCCTTCACTGTGCTTGGACAAGGATTTTCACAGTTAGATTACTGGGGATTGTAAGAATATCTAAAACCCTCAGAACCATGTCTTATACTTTCCTCAAAGCCTACACCACTCCAAACATGGTCAAAGTGTATTTGAAACAGAAGAACCCAAACACATCTACACTTTCTTTCTCCATAGATAGGTATGGAGACAATGGTTCTCTCCCTTTGGTGGAAAATTCAAAATGCAAATTTAAAGAATGTTCATGTAAGTTTGCCACCCATTTAAGATCCTCAGAAGAGGCTTAATAAACTTAGTGTGAGAGACCATCACAGCTCAGACTCATGTGTCATAGTCCTAGCAGATTTTCTGCTCATTCTATCAATATCATTTCCCAAAGTAGTTTTCATTAAATGATCTACACTGAACCAGTCTTCCCTGGTTGGCATTCACTCATCATCCTAAAATTCTACTAGATTATTAGAATCTGTTGCCAGATGATGTTTAACAAACTATTCAAGAGATTATCTGGGTGACAACAGACCTCTGAAGCTACATTCTATGTGGGGAGCTGAAGAAATCCCAAGAGAAAGTATATTCTTGACGTGAGCACAGCCATGTTAAGGACCTCAAAGCATCACATCCTTTGGAGTAATAAAGCCTTCCGCTGCTCAGGTTATGGACTTGAGTGAAAGTTCGCCCCTTAAACTGTAAAACAGTGTCTGCAGATAGCACTGCTTGCAGCATCCTACTGCCAGATGCCTGTATCCCAACATGTGGAGTAGATCACACTGGCCCACACATCTTAAGTAGACTACCTGATCCACTGCCGGCATCACTACTGCTTCTGGCTCCTGTTTTAGTATGATCATGATTCAGTCTGTTATGACTAGTGACACCTTCTGCAGAAGGTAAAAACATGGTCATGAGAAGACCACCATACTTTACTAAATGTCAATTCAAGGGAATATTAACACCCAAAGCACTTTTGCTTTATTCTCCAGAAGCTGTTGTTCTTTGTCACCAAACTAATTTGTACTAAAAATTGGCAAGTCAGTTTTAATTCCAACATTCTTTCTCCACCTCCTCCAGAACAGAATGCCGAGTATAACCTACCAATAGAAAATCAAAATAAAAGAAATAAAGAACTTCAAAACTAAATGTTTAAAAGGCTATTTCTATAAAATATAAAAGATAGTTGAAACTCCTTGTGACCCTAAGAACTGAGACCTGGTAGAATACCTAGAATATTGGCCAGAGTACCAACGCCATTAGCAATACTTGAAACAATTTTCTTGGTAGCTATTTCCAAATTAGAGTCTAGATGTGTAGAGACACCAGCACCAAAATTACTTGTCATTTTACCTGCAGAATAAAAAATGAAAGTCATAATGGATATTGAAACATGCCTGATTTCCAGTGTTTGTGTACAATAATAAATAATATCTAAAGCTGACTGTAGACACAGCCCTTCCACAGCATGGAAACTTGGCATTAAATTGAAGTAAGAAGGGAGAACTACCACTCCAAAGCAGATGCAGAACCTCAGAAACCATCTCTGGAGAGGAGAGAGACCTATGTGCTCAGTGGAAAATCAATATGAACTGAACTCCTGCCCTCTTGTGGTCACAGCTTTTGGCATTAAGAAAACAGAAGGAAAGTTCCAAATAAGTTTCCTTGAAGAGTTTGAATCAGGGGTGGAGAGTGGAAATGAAGAGCCAGGCAGCTTCAGCATCAAACCAATGGGTTGTTTCTGTTTCCATATGTAGGCTCCAAGATCACCATCCTATCACAAAGATCCAGTTTTGAGAAACAGTGACCTTGTAGCTTACCAAAGAACACCCATCTTAAAAAGTAAGAAGAGAAATGGTATAATAACGTCACATTTTAAAACAATGAAAATATTTTTACATCAATTCTTTCTTAAAATTCAATATGAGCAATCCCCATTATACTAACTGGCATTTAAAACTAATTTATTATTTTGGAGCTTTCTTATTTACTAGATTTCCTCCATGTGATTAGGGAATACATTAGCCTGCTATATTGAAAATCACACTATCCCAGTCTTGAGAAGGCAATGGCAAACAAAACTCACTAGTGAATATTTGTCAATACACTATTTCTTTTTCCCATAAAAGTCTTGACCTAAATTTTCCATTCTAAATTGGATTTTATTTTCTCAATATTAGTTAAAAATAAAAATAACGAATGACCTAATCCATTTATGAGTTTTATTTTAGTGAGAATAAAGAATGGCCTAAGAAAACTTATAAGAAATATATACGCACGATACCCATCTATATTTCATTATACATATTTATATAGATATAATATAATTTTATTTATAACTAACATTTTTCTACTTATCCAGGAACTTTAAATTTCTTTCTTTCTTTCTTTAAAAATTTTTTTCTACAGCCATGCCTATTGAAACCATATGCATTTTGTTTGGATTTACTGTGAAACTGCTACCTAATATTTTTTATTTTGCTCAATTTTTAATTTTATCAAAATGCTTTCTTCAATAAATCTGTTTTTTAAATCTAAGCAATTTGTTACTTTACAAAATGTTTTCTCTGTGATATATTATCTTAGTGATGGACTGAACCTTTCAGAAGTGGTACTTATTTGTGAATGCCATAATTCTCAGGGTAGGATTCTAGACTTAATGGGAATGTATACTCAAACACAGTTATTAAAGCACAAACTATGCTGAGAATGAGCAGTAACCCTTAAGCTAACACACACACACACACACCTTTGAGATCACTTCTTAAAGCATAAATAACTTCTGCTGCTATAGAAATGTAGTATCCCTGCATATTATCCCACTCTGAAGCACAAGAAAGAAGTAGAGAACACTAAACATTAAGTAAGTATGCTCTTATTAAATTAAATAGACTCTTCAATTTTTTTACCTTTACAAAAGGTGCAGAGCACCACAGCCAGGTACAAAAGTATCGGCTTCATGGTGACGATTTGGGACCTAGGCGTTGAGACTGTTCATACCGGGGAATCAGGCCCATCATGGCAGTCTCTAGCCTGCATATTTATAGTTCATCTCAACACTGGCTCTGGCCAGCTGTTGGCTTGGAAAGGCTGGTGATGACAATACAGGTAAACATTGTAGCAAGGCAAAGACAACCTACAACACACCAGTTTCTCTGACATCTCTACCTTGGTCCAAGTCTAGTTCCTGCCAAACATAGAATATGCCCTCTTGCCACCCTGTGCAAACAGCCAAGCCAGGAACTGAAAGTCTCAGGATTAAGGCTCAATTATGCTGATGACATGCCTTGATCTGAGCCCTATCAAACATCACAAATGTCTTAATAACCCAAGGAACTCAAATATTATGATATATTAAAATTGTCCTTCTTTTGACAATAAAATGTATTTTAAGCATTAACTTACCTTGAAACAAAGAACTCTTTGCCTTTTCTTAATAATAATATTATAGTTATATTCCTTCAAGATACACATATGATTATCATCTATGCACAGACACAGGAAAAACAGAAATGTATCATTGTCACAGTCCTGGCTTTATTACTTAAAAATGCCTAATATTCTAATGGTACATCTCTCCCATGCATTTCACAATCAGATACACAAATAAGCAAAAACACATGGGAAGGGTGACATGAGAAAAATGTTTTAGGACAGAAATAAGATTAAATAGAAATCTTATTTAAGGTTTGTACAACTGTATGAAATTCAACTTTGTGGGCAGGGTAAGAGTTGTGTTGTGCTTAATGAATAGGAAAGAAAACAAGATGTCTTTCACGCTGCCCAATAGACATGAACCCCAGAAGTCCAGATGTGCATCTGCAATGCTGCCATTTGTTTCTCATTAGTATCCAGTTGCTACCAAGAAAACAGCAGAAGCTAAAGCACAGAGAACAGTTTAGTATTCCTACAAAATCAGAAAACATGTGGGAAGTGAAAGAAAAAGACCAACTTCCCTTTTCTTTCCACTTCTATTCCCTTGTTTCAACTAATTAATCCAAGAGAAATGAGCAATGCCTTCTTTCCTAGGCAACCTCACCAATGTGTGCTGAATGTTTTACACACCTGTTCCTCACCCCACCAAAGACTGTCTGTTTAGGGTAACACATTCACTGAAAGCCATGTGAGTTTTCCCTCTGGATAAGAAACGTGGAGATTGTGCAGACATGGACCCATGAATGCTAGAGGAAAAGCCTACCTCAGGCCAGTGAATGAGAACACTCACTTCAGTACTGGAGAAATGGATGAGAGCAGGACTACACATATCAGAATCCAAGTAACTGCCAGGTGGGCATGGCACCCAGATCGAATTCCAGGCTTGGAAGATAGAGAAAGTGGATGCCTGGAGCAAGCTTGGTAGTTCCATGTTAATAGTGTTAAGATGGATAATATGGAGTACAATCAAGGAAGACACCTGGTATTGGCCTTAAGTCTCCAGACACACAAGTGTATTCATACATGTGGAAATATCCATAAACGTACCCCCATACAGCACACACACACAGAGACACTTGAAGAGAAAGAAAATAACTTCATAAGGTTTCCAAGCAACAGTTCTGATTTTCTTCAGTAATTAACAACTAAGTAAAAATTTTGAAGATGGGGAGGAAGGGTTCCCAATAAAGAAAAAAGCATGTCTAAAAGAGATCATTGTTTTTGAGTCAAAAGATTCATTCTGCCTTTTTTCTTCATAATACACAACTTGGTTGTAAAGAAGACAGAAAGCTCATTTTAAAAATATCATTATTATCATGTAATTATTCTGCTATGAGCTTCACATATGACTGAGACTCACAGAAGGGCAGAATGTACCACAGTTTCTCAGGAACCTCTGGGGACTGAGGGGAAAATGTGAGACATAAACAGTCAGATGCTCTCAGTGAAGTGATAGGAACACTCCAAGAGCTTAGATTCCCTCAGCTTGTGAGATCCGGAGAAAGCAGAGAGCAGAGTCTAATGCCCAGACAATGAAAAGAAGTTGACAATTAGACATGTTGAGTATGGAAGGATTCTAGGTGATAAATACAGTGTTGGTAAAGTTTAAAGCAATTTCAAATAGTCTATGCCTTACAAAGTCTTACTTCCTGCCTTTCTAATCATGTATTCTCCATGTTCTCCAGAATCCTTTCGTCCTTCCTCATTCCACCAGTAACACCAGTACACCTGCTGCCATTGTGTGGTCAGCTGTCACCACTATTATTTCTCATTAACCCTCACTTTCTTTAAGCAATTCATACGAGTTAGGGAGCTCCAAACCTAGGCTTTCATTACATTCTCTCCTTTCCTCTATTTATGCTACATAAATGAACATGGTTGGATAAAGTCATACACACAGACCAAACTTCCTCACCACATGGGAACACATATGGTAACCAAACAATTCTAGTTCTTATCCACTTTGCTTTGTTTTTATACTCCCTGCCAGCATTCAACATGCTCTCATCGTTCCCTGGAGTTAATGACACTACTTTTAATTTTTATGAAAAATAAATGCTATCAAAAGAAGACCTACAAGGGTCCATCCGCCATATTCTCATCCACTGGCATCTGTACCCAAACTCTGCCTGTCTCCTTATTAATTCACATAAACTCCCACATCAGCATCCCAGATTTCACTCAAGGACATTATGCCAGCAATTCTGTTAGCTCCCACTCCGACGTCAAGTAGTCCTCTTTTGGGTTATTACTAACATCCCCACATCTATGTAAGTTTTTTCTTTAATCCTTCAGATTTCAAGGTATCTGTGACAGAGTTCATTGTAAAAGCAAAAATATCAACATATTAATTTATATTGTCAATTTCTACTAAAAGTTATTATGGCAATATTTAAAAAAGACTTTTGTGGGATGTACCCATTTTGCACAAGAATTTCTAACAGGGTAGATGAATTTTACAGGGGTCATCAAGCACTTTAACTGTTTCACAACAGTAAAATAAAAGTCTTATAATATGAAGTTATTATACATATCTTAAAGGAATGCCCATCAAAAAGAACAAAAGGCAAATGTCACTTTCTTGATTCAAAAGGATGTGGCTTAAGTCTGTACACTTAGGGATGTACTGCCAGAGAAAGTCAACTGTTGGGCGGACAATAGCATCAGTGTGGGCAAGCCTGTGTTTATAGAACAAGGCTCCATCCAGAAGGAAACGTATTAAACATGGCACGTATCAAACAACATCTGTTTGGGCTGTGGAGCAGGAAGTTCTCTGTTGTCGTACACATTATGATCTAAAGTCTGAAAGGGGAATTTCTCAAAAATTAGAAGTATGTTATTATAGGAAAAATTTTATTCCAGGAGAAATAAAAAGTCAATTAAAATTTTGAGAAACAATTCAATGAACTCATGCAACTATGTGAAACCTAAATGATATTTAACATTCTATATAAACAGTATAATCTTGATAGTGATATAGCACCCCTAATTCAATTTCAATGTTTTCTTAGACTGTTACTTGGAAGGCAGAGAAGGCTGACAATGTCGGGATGGCTTTTTAAATTTTTATTATTTATTTGTTTCCTTTTAATTATTTTTTAAAATTTCATTTTACATTCCAACCACAGTGCTCCCTCGCACCCCTCCTTACCATCACCCCCCTTGCCTTCCCTGCTAGTCCACTGCCCTTCTACCCCTCCTCACTAGTAAGGGTTCCCAAAGCTGGTACATTAAGTTGTGGTAGGACCAAGCCCCTCTCCCATGCATTAATACTGAACACGGCATCGCACCACAGGGAAAGGTCTCCAGCAAGCTAGCTCATGTACCAGGTTTAGCTCCTGGTCCTACTGCCAGGGGTGTAGGGATGGATTATAAAGGGTGTTAACAAGAATTGCTTTTCACTACTGCTTTAGATATCAGTATGTCATCAGCATTGACATGCTCCTCAGTTAGACTCTCACTGTTTCAAACTCACGTGCCTTACACAGCCTAGGTAGACCTGCCCCGAATGCTCTGCCATTTTCTAAGTTTGCTGATCGTTGTCTTGAGGTTACCCCTCTCTCTGTTCCTGTCCTCCTTTCTTCTGAGCCTGTCTTCTCAGCGTGGCCTGCCCATTCACTACAACTACCGAAATGAGCAAACAAACAAAGCATCTGGATATGGAAATCAACATCCTCGGGCTATCAGAATGTAACCCTATTTGGAGATTAGGGTTGTTAAAGGGGTATTAAATCCAGATGAGGGTGTTTAGATGGGCCCTTAATCATTGTGCTGCTCATGCTATGAAGCTTGACCCCAGGGGCAGAAGACAACCACATACAACCCCACGGGGGAGCGATGCTGGGAATGCCCGGTTTCCTCACAGACTTAGAAGTGGTGAACACTGCCTAGCACCTAGACCCATACTTCTAGCTACAGAACTGTGTGAGAAAAAAACCCAACAGATTTCTATTGTTTAAGTCAAGTCACCCAGTCTGTGGTTGTAATATTCTTTTTTAATATCATTTTTATTTTTAATTATTATTATTTACATGAAGACCCTAGTTTCCTCTCCCTCTTCTCCCAGTTCCCTCTCCCTTCTGCCCTCCCCATCCACTTCTCCTCTGTTTCTAATCAGAAAAGGTCAGGCCTCCCATGGATATTAACTGAACATGACATATCCAGATGCAGTAAGTCTAGGCACCTTCCCTTGTACTAAGGCTGGACAAGGCACCTCAGTATGAGAAATAGTGTCCCAACAAATAAATACTGGTAAAATCTCAAGAGATGACCTACACAAATCCACCTCTGACCCCACAATCTCTCTTTCTCTCTCTCTCTCTCTCTCTCTCTCTCTCTCTCTCTCTCTCTCTCTCTCTCTCTCTCTCTGTCTCTCTCATTATTTTATTTATTTATTCTTCTTTCATGCAATATATCCTGACATCAACCTCCCCTCCCTCCATCCCTGCAAATCACCTGCTCCCCACTTCCCCAGATCCAACATTCCTCAGTTTCTCTTCAGAAAAGATCAGGCCTCCCAGCAGGGCTCAGGAACCTGAGGGGGAAGAAGGATTGTAGGAGCCACAGTGGTTGAG